CTATTTAAAAACTGGCAAGATGGTAAGCTGTTCAACCTGGACTGCTTCCAATCCAGAACCAAAACATCACCAACCTTAGTGGCTGAGCTTCAATATGCTGACAATATTATAGAGTGGGCTCATTTGGCTTTGCTGATGCATATCAGACTCTCAGCATACAGTAGAAAAAGGTCCTCTATCAGCAAGCTTCTACTGCACAACTGCCAGCACCAGAAATACATGATAACCTTCTAGAGACCATTGCGTATTCCCATTCTTGGAAGCCACTCTCACAGGCAGCTGACATTGAAAAAGAAATCCAGGATCAGCTCAAATGTGCTAGTTGAGCATCTGGTCATCTGAGAATAAGAGTGGTCGAAGGTTGCAACATCAGAATTAAAACCAGACTTATGATTTACAAAGCTGTTGTAATCCCCATCATGTTGTAAAGGGCTGAAACATGGACAACATAGGGAACATCTTAAGGCTTTAGAGAAGTATCATCACACTGTATGCAAATGATTATTCAAATTAAATGGGCTGTTAGATGTATTAACATTGATATCCTCCCACAAGCAGATATCACAAGTATCAAGGCAATAATTATCTATCATCAACTTCACTGGCAAGTCATTGTGTTTGGATTCCTGAAGAAGTTTTCTATTTTCAACTCAGCCACGGCAAACATGCTAGAGGAGGTCAGAAAAATCACTACAGAGATATCCTCAAGGCTAATGTGGGGAAATGTAATTCATGGTAACATATAGCTCAGGGCTGACAAAGATAGAGGAATTGCTTAAGGCAAGGAACTTGGCACTTTGATAACCAGATGCAACTACATATAACTGATAGAAAAACAGAAACCAACATCTAGTTCAGAAATACATGTCTGCAATATGGCAGAGTCTGTGGCTCTAGAATACATCAATTTCTACATCTTTTTTTTATATTATGTTATGAAAGATGCATATAAGTGTTAGTTATTACAGTTTGTGCTATGCATTAGGAATGTAAAAAAGAAAAACTGTCATGGCATAAGAGAAACCCTGTCTGGGAATATTTTGAAGTTATTCCTTCTCTGAACAAAAAAGAAAAAATGTGTCAAATGTCAGCAGTGCAAGGAGATGCAGGGCCCCCTTACAAGAATGAAACATCATGCGGAAAACTACTAACTGGGAGAAAATAATGTGGATGAAGAACAATGTTGATCAACTGGTTAATAATTTAAATAACTCACTTTGCAACACATCACTCTTCAATACTCCTGCTATGCCAGTGTGTGATTTAACAAGTAATTCCCAAGCTGTTTGCTATGTTGGACATTGCTACAAAAAAAGTTTAGCTTAGCTAATCTTTATGGCTTGTTTAATTAGTTAACCATGTAGTGAAAAATGTATCCCTCAAGTAGGCAGTACAGAAAAATGCAGCAAAAGAAATCTAGAGTTGTCAGTAGAAACTGAGCGCAATTTTCTTATTTTATATTACCTAACACATTCCCCATAATTTGGAACATTACGGCCACAGACCATAATGGCGATGTTGTAAGTCTATTTTCTATTTTACTTCAGCAAAACTAAGCTTTCCCAAGGGAACCCCATCTAATACTTGCTTTCTTAAAAATCAGAAATGTCAGTGAGTTCAATGGGGCATACTCCAAAATTAAGTGCACTCTAAGGCTACGTCTACACTGGCCCCTTTTCCGAAAGGGGCATGCTAATTTCACAGGTCGTAATAGGGAAATGCGCGGGGGATTTAAATATCCCCCGCGGCATTTAAATAAAAATGTCCGCCGCTTTTTTCCGGCTTTTAGAAAAGCCGGAAAAGAGCGTCTACACTGGCCCCGATCCTCCGGAAAAAAGCCCTTTTCCGGAGGATCTCTTATTCTTATACTTCGAAGTAGGAATAAGAGATCCTCCGGAAAAGGGCTTTTTTCCGGAGGATCGGGGCCAGTGTAGACGCTCTTTTCCGGCTTTTCTAAAAGCCGGAAAAAAGCGGCGGACATTTTTATTTAAATGCCGCGGGGGATATTTAAATCCCCCGCGCATTTCCCTATTACGACCTGTGAAATTAGCATGCCCCTTTCGGAAAAAGGGCCAGTGTAGACGAACCTTTAGGGTATGACAGCTGCTGCTGTCTATCCTCTAGGGTTCGAATTAGTGGATCTAGTGAAGATATGCTAATTCCAACTGAAAGAGGTGCTCTGGTCGATGCTGGTAGTTTTGCTTCCTCAAGGAGTAAGGGAAGTTGAAGGGAGAGTGCAGGAAGTAAAAGAGAGCAGTGTGGACAGAGCCAAAAGTTAAGGTACTTCAACTTCAATTACGTAATTAATGTAACTTAAGTTGAATATCTTAATCCAGCTTTACCCTGTAGTGTAGACATACCGTAAGTCAGAGGTGGGCAATAATTTTTCATGGGGCCACTCCAAGAATTTGGAAAGTGGTCAAGGGACGTATTCTTCCATGATATTAATGGAGGAGGTGCATGGTCTGGGATGGAGGTTAGGTGCAAAAGGGACCTTGGGTAAGGAAGGGAGTTTGGGTGAAGGAGACAGTTGTAACTGGGGGCACTGGACTGAGGTACAGGGGGTTGGATTGTGACCTAGGGCAGGGAATTGGGGTACATAAGTGGGTGCAGGGTTGTGAGCTAGGGCAGGAGAGGCCTGTTAAAGGCTCTACAAACTCACATGAAAATGACACCTGCTGTGGATTTTCCAGTTTCAAAAGTATTTCCCACGACCATTAGTAATCCAGCAATGCAAGCTTCTAGCGTACTTCTCTGTAGTGATTCTCTCATTCTGGTATCCCTGTGCCAGAGAGAGCTTGGAAAAACGGATACAAAAATGTCACCTTTCATATTTGAAAATTCTGCCAAACCTGCATTATGACACGATCGAACCACTCAGTGCTCCCAAACCCAGAAACAATGGTCCCGCCATCTCCTGCGGCTTTGTACACACCAGCCACAACCTTCTATTGTTTTTCACTACTTCAAGTATCGGGCCTCAAAAATCCCATTCGTATGGTTCCTTCCTGCAGGCTTGCAAATTACAGGAGAGTTTTTCATCCTGTATTTGCAAGGCTCACAGGATTCGTGTGGGCTCCCTGCTTCTGTCAGAGACAGCAGACAGGGAGAGGAGACGGTGGCCTTGAGGATCTGGGGGCAGGGAACTTGGCCAAAGGGCACTGCGAGAAGACGGTCAGGGACAGGGAGGGGAGGCAGCCTCAGGTCTGGAGGCAGGCACGTGGCCTCAGGGTAGTGAGACGGGAGGCACAAAGCAGCCACACGGCACCACCAAGGGAGGTGGGGGTGAAGGGCACAGTGAGGGGGCAGCACGGCCATGATGGGCCGAGTCCCAGGAAGGCGCAGGGCCTGAGGGCACAAAGGAAGGGGCAAGCGGGCGTGGCAGGCAGAGGGATGCAGGCACCAAGCCCACGCGGGGAAGGGCACGAGGCCTCAGGGAACGTTGAAGGGGCGAGTATTCGAGCCCTCCGTCGGGCGGGGCAGCCTAACGCTCTCCCGTCCGCGAGACTCCCCCCTGAGGAGCGCGCGGGAGTCGGGCGGTTGACGTCTGGCCCAACTCCCTGCCCCGCTTCCCGCGAGCTCCCTCCATAGCCCAGCGCCCTAGCGCGGGTCCAACGTTCGGCGGGGCGGGACTTCCGGGTCGCTTTGCCCTCTTCGGAAATGACGTTGGCGTGTCAACATGCAAGATGGCGGCGCATCACCGACAGAATGCGGCCGGGCGCCGGAAAGTGCAGGTGAGAGGTCTGCTGGGCTGCCCGCCGGCGCGGGGTTGTGGCGCGGCTGAGGGGCTCGCGGAAGAGGGGGCGCGGGCCGAGAGCGGGCGAGCACCTGGGAGGGGCGGTTGGGCTGGGGGCGGGGCGCCGCAGGTGAAGGAGCGGGACTGCGAGCGCGGGGGGCGGGGGAGGGGAATGGGGCGGGGGGGGGGGGGC